CGAATTACAGTGGTAAATACACATATTTACCATTTACCGTATTGCATGCAAATTCATTCAGTTATATCCCCGCATTGACATGTATTGATCCAAGTTCCATGTGCGAGTAGTGTATGCGTTTTTATTTACATGAGTATTCATTCAGTTGTATCCCCCTAGGAAATACGATCATTAGTTTCGACTGCTAGACATCCTAATTGATTCTCAAGTGTATAAAATTGAAGTTATGATGATTCAGGTCTCATTCCTTCTTTGACACTTTCGAGAATAGTCGCAATCAAGAAATGTCGTGGGTATTCGTTATTTTATTCAAGTTATTTCTCCTCGAACTGATCACCGCTGGGGAGCTAGTGGAACCAACTGAAAGAATCCTTGTGGGATTCTCAAAGAGAGAACCATTTGTTTTTGCAAATCAGATTGGCGCACTAAAGGGTTTGGATGTATTGATTATGGAGAATTTCGCCCGGAAATTTAAACTAAAACTTGAATTTGTAGAACAAATTATTTCGCTAAACAAAATATCTAGCAACAAGAAAGTATGCACCCAACATAGTAATTTGCAGTGAGTTTCATTCTGGAATAATTAAAAAAAACATGAACAACATGCAAGTTCTATAGCATTTAAATTTTTCAAGGAAAATCGACATATTCATTGGCGCATTGGACGAGAATACTCTAACACAAGAACATTTCATTGCTTCTCGTTCGTACTACCATGACACTTTAACATGGTGTGTTCAAATGAAGCAGCCCATCCCAAATTGGAAAAATATTTTTTATTTATGCAGAGATCCGCTCGTTTATGCGATATACTTTTTGATGTGTCCTTTAGTCGTGTTCATGGGATATTTTATGCAGAGATTCGAGGACTTTACACCAAAATGGGACTATTTTCGACTTTCTTTTGCCGGAATTGCACCATGTCTTGGTTTTGGATCTGAATACTTTGCGAACACAATCCCAAATCGAATATTTTTCGTGTTTTCTCTATTTAGTGCCACGTTATCTTATATCATCACTAACTCATTCATTTTGCTCTTCATCGCCATTCCAATCTATGAACGTCAAATTAGAACCAGGCAAGAGATAATTCAACATCAATTTGAACTAGTCGGTGACACATTCGCATTGAATCATCTAAGGATGCAGGATCTGGTAAATTTGTTAATTTGGTTTCTGCTTTGAAACACATCACTAATTTGAATCCCACAGACCTATCCGCAGAAATCGCTCGAAAAATTCAGAATTTGTGAAGACTTGAATATCTGTTTGAGCCAATTGGATCGAGAACGAAAATTGGCGGTGGCAATTTCTCGTGAACATGTTCGCAACAGCCATTTAGACCTTCAGACATTTTGCTTTGACGAATCGGAGGATATTCACGATTACGCACTGAAGTTTTTGGTACGCAAGGACTTTCCATACTTGAACGAACTCAATGAATTCATCCGGATGGCAAGTACAAGTGGTCTCATCGAAAAATGGCATTCAGATAGAAGAATTCGATATCGTCAAAAGTACAGCGATGATATTTCTGAAATAAGCACTAACAACTTCATTGGGCTCTGGATGATTTATCCCTTCATATTAGGATCCATGCTTTTGACATTGTTTTTCGAAAGATTGATACATAAGAAGGCACGGCAACCGAATCCACGGCGATTTTGGTTAATAGCCGAAATGATCATAGATCCGTATAGACATTTTTGGCTTGAAACTAAGTTAATCAATGGGAATTTGGCTTTTTAATTGGGTCTCCAAAATTGAATTGCCAATCGCAACCAAATGTGAATGGTTCGGAGCGAAAATGTAATACAGAAAAGTTGAGCGGAAAAATGTCAAAAGAAAAGGGATAGCTATATAGTTCACTATAGTTTACTATACAGTTTACTATATAGCTATCCCTTTTCCGCTCATTCATCATCGACATTTTTCCGCTCAACTTTTCTGTATTACATTTTCGCTCCAAACCATTCATATATAGAATGGGGTAATAAGTATTTTTCCGTGAATATTTGCATTTTTGTTGTTTTGAAAATTCAAAAATTAAGAATCATGATAGTATTCATTAAACTAATCCCTGAATCTTAAAGTAATTCATGTTGAATAACTCCCGAATGATGGAATTGCAAGGGAATAGACGTAATTTTAGAATCATTTAGATTTCAGTGCTGGTGATAAGATCGTCGCCTCAAATAAATGACGATATGCCGTTTTGCTCAACTATAAGACAACTATAAGACATAAAATATTGAATATTCAACAATAGATTCCGTGACATTTCGAACATAATATTATGTACTGCAATATATACAAATAAATATATATTCTTGAAAATAAGAAGCAAAAACTTTTGTGTAAAAATTAAATTTGTTTATGGAGCTTCAATTGCAGTGCGTAAAAATGCCCAGAGATCAAATTCTTTTCGAATTTTGAAATTGGTGGAGATGTTTATCGAGATACTTTTGGAAGCGAGTTTGATTACGATACAATCTCTGAGTAGTCATCAAAATCGCATTAATATTATGCAGGTACTTCATTTCTCATCAAAACATCATTACAGTTGATGATTTTCTTCAAAAACACATGCTGTTGAGATGATACTTCCAATTGGTCTATAGATTGTGATGATATGTAATATTTTTACCCTTTTTTCTTGTTTACATTCGAAATACCGCATGAAATACAATCATTAGTTTCTAATGCTAGACATCCTAATTGATTTTCAAGTGTAGAAAATTTAAATTATGCTAATCAAGGTCTCATTCGTTGTTCAACACTTCAAAGAATGGTCACAATATAAAAATGTCGTGGTGTTTCGCTATATTATTCAAGTTATTTCTCCTCGAACTGATCACCGCTGGTGAGCTTGTGGAACCAACCGAGAGAATCGTCGTGGGATTCTCAATGAGAGAACCATTTGTCTTTGCAAATCAGATTGGCGCACTAAAGGGTTTGGATGTATTGATTATGGAGAATTTCGCCCGAAAATTTAAACTAAAACTTGAATTTGTAGAACAAATTATTTCGCTTAACAAAATATCTAGCAACAAGAAAGTATACATCCAACATAGTAATTTGCAGTGAGTCTTATATTATAATTTAAAAACAAATATATGGAAAAAGCGTTTAAATTTCAAAGTCTCCAACTGTTTTAAGGGAAATCGACATATTCATCGGTGCATTGGACGAGAATACTCTAACACAAGAACATTTCATTGCTTCTCGTTCGTACTACCATGACACTTTAACATGGTGTGTTCAAATGAAGCAGCCCATTCCAAATTGGAAGAATATTTTTTATTTATCCAGAGATCCGCTTGCTTATACGTCATTCGCTACGGTGTCTATTTCAGTCATATTCATGGGCTATTTTATGCAAAGATTTGAAGACTTTACACCAAAATGGAATTGGTGGCGAGTTTCATCTGCCGGAATATCATTATGTTGCGGCTTTGGATCTGAATACTTTGCTAACACAATCCCAAGCCGAATATTTTTCGTGTTCGCTATTTTTGGCGCCACGTTATCTTATATCGTCGGAAACTCATTCATATGTCTTTTTATCACCATTCCAATCTATAAGGATCAAATTAAAACCAAGCAAGAGATAATTCAAAATCAATTTGAACTAGTTGGTGATGCATTCGCATTGAATCATCTAAAGATGCAAAATCTGGTAAATTTGTTAATTTGGTTTCTGCTTTGAAACACATCACTAATTTGAATCCCACAGACCTATCCGCAGGAATCGCTCGAAAAATTCAGAATTTGTGAAGACTTGAATATCTGTTTGAGCCAATTGAATCGAGAACGAAAAATGGCGGTGGCAATTTCTCATGAACATGTTCGCAACAGCCATTTAAACCTCGAGACATTTTGCTTTGAGAAATCGGATGGCATTTACGATTACGCACTGAAGTTCTTGGTACGCAAGGACTTTCCATACTTGAACAAACTCAATGAATTCATCCGGATGGCAAGTACAAGTGGTCTCATCGAAAAATGGCATTCAGATAGAAGAATTCGATATCGTCAAAAGTACAGCGATGATATTTCTGAAATAAGCACTAACAACTTCATTGGGCTCTGGATGATTTATTTCAGTCTTATTGCAGTTTTATTTTTAATTGTGTATTGGGAAAGATTAGTACACAAGAAGGCACGGCAAAAGAATCCACGGCTACTTTGGTTATTGGCTGAAATGATAATCGATCCGTATAGACATTTTTGGGTTGAAACTCAATTTTTCAATGGGAATTTGGCATTTTAGTTCGTTTTAAAAATTTTAGTTGCCGATTGCAACTCAATCGAGTGGTGTATTTTTTCCCCGTAAACGTTTGCATTTTTATTGTTGTCAATATTTAAAGCAAATTATGATTTTGATTTGGATGTGCAATGTAATTCAGAAAAAAAAACAAATAACCAATTGTAAAATGTGAAATGTGTCAGAATAAAACAAATAAAGTTTCATATTTGATTATGTTCACACGCGTAGTAACACTACAATAATTGCTTCGTCGAAGCTTTTTCAGTTGAGCTTTTTCGAGCAGTTTTCCAAAAGCTTAGGAAAGTTTTACTTCGAGATGTGCTTCTTGACTTAGCTCAGATCACAACCGACTGGAAAATTCATAAGGTCATCGATTCCAATGGGTTCAGATTTGAGTTTTGGAAAGAAGGATAATATCCGTAACGGACCAAGAAAAATCGTTATTTTGAATCAATTCATGCTAAACACTTAATTCTGTGATACTTTGAAACACTTAGAAGGAGAAGGAGAAAATGATTCTAATTTATAAACCGGAACAAAGTTTTACTCACGTGTACTCTATGACCACCTAAAAGTTGTCCAGTTGGAAAAGTGGAAAGAAAGGCACACGATTTTGTGTTTTTTTTTTTTTTTCAACCAAAAAAAGTTGCAGGTAAATAAATAAAAAGAAATCTTTTATTCATATTGTTCAATACTTTCACAGTTATTCACAATGTCATCGTTCAATGTAATAGGAATCAAATGTCAAAGGAACCAAGGGAAACAAAATGAAATTTGACGATTGAAGAAAAGTACATATGGTGAGAAGAAAATAAAAAAGATGGCTTCGTATGAGGTATTAAGGGGATTAAATATAGATTGAAGTGCATACCTCGTTGATATCATATGCTTGTTAAAAAGAATGATTCAAGTTAGATTTGATTTTTTTTTTACGTTCAATATTAATCATTTTTGTAAGATTTCTTTTGTAGCATTATTTTGCTATAGTTCAACATCTACCGTAAATATATTTAGATTGATAGTTGTATTTTTTTTTTGGTTGTTAATAATATAAATTTCACATGAAATACATATTCATAGATAAATGTTTTAATTGTTTTTTGGTATTTTTTTGTTTTCATTAAATATTTTTGGACTTAAAATTTGGTGTGTGTTACTGATTTCGGATGGAATGAATGATTTTCTGTGTGTGAATGGGTGTCATTGTCAAACAATATTTTTATTGGCTTAACTTTGTACAAATTTTGGTTCCAGTGGACTGTTTTACCACCATTCCGGTACATCGGCCAGAAATCATACATTCACACCCATCAGTATTGTATATCATATGCCATTTGTTTTTTTTTTTGCTTTTTTTATGAAATCCATTATAATTTTAACATTTATTAAAATTCAAGAAAAATATATGTTTATTTGGTTTTATGTTTAGTTTTGTTTGTTTGTGTGAAACTTTGTGTGACACAAATGGTGTCTGCATGTATGTGTAAGGGGTTTTGTTTGAAAATGTCGACGGAATTATATTCACATCGCATTTTCGGGTTTTTTATGTTCATTGATGATAAGATTACGTTTACATTCCTTTGGTTTGCTTTGCTTTGGATGGTAAATGAAGGTTTTTTTTTTCACAAAAATATACACGAAAATCTGATACCTCTTAACATTAGAGCTGTATCGCAGAAAAAAAGACGTAAAATTGTTGGCATGTGTGTATCTCTCCATCCATCCGTTCAATTCATGTGGAAATGAAATGAAACTGCTGCTGCGGCTGCTGCTACAGATACAATGTGAGGGAAGGTTAAACTCAAATCTAATGCAAAACTAAAATGTGGCCAAAATAGATGCGATGGGAAAAAATGTAAATTGAAAACTTAGGCATTCGAAATTAAGACAGTTTGTGGTTTTAGCTCTCCGATTGCATGGAATCTCTCTTCGGCATGATTTTGTACAGAAATTTTAATTGAATTGCATTTAGACGGTGTTCTCAGATCGTCGTCGACGGCCGGGTCCACCTGCACAAGTAAATAGAGACAAAATGCAAAATGAGAATGTAAAATGTGTTTGAAATTCAAGTTGGAAGCGTTTGAAACATACCTGCGAAATTTGCAGCTGCCATTCCAAGACGATGTTTTGCCTCAATCGCACCAGACAAACCGCGACCCAAACCGAAATCCACTGTGCGCTTGGAGCTGTTAAGCAACGAGCGAAGAAAAGAGGGAGAAAGAGAAAAAGAAAGGGAAAGAGAAGGAGAAAGGGGAAGAAAAGAGAAGGGGAAAGAGAGAAAGTGTATAAGAAAAACAAAAGTCATTTAAACAGTCTTGTGAAACACATCACAAACAGTCGTTATCAATTGGCAGCAAATGTGGCATTCACCGGCTTTAATTTGGATTCAATTGAGTGAAAAATCGCCATGCGCTCAATGTAATCAATACAACGGAAGATGCAAATTGCGTGTTGAATTGTGCTCAATTTTCCGGTATTTACGCGTAACAACACAATCAACGAACGAAAATTGAGATGCTATCGATGCAATGTTATTCAATTACGTGCATCTTTCCTTTTCCAAATCATCGTGTCTTGGATGCATTTTCAAATCAAATGCGCTGTATTGGAGTGGAGTGGCACAGTGTGGCAAAGGTTAAATTCATGGAAATGATAATATTTATCTGTTGTTGTTTTGCCTTTTTGCATATCGATTCTGTGCTAACGAGATGCATTGTTCGCCATGAATGAATGACTTGCATTTCCCCATCATGTAGTATTCAAATTCGATGTGAAAATTGTGCTCGCCTTGTTCAGTCGGGGTTGCCACCAACTGAGCCCGGAAGCCTGTGTGTTGTATTTTGAGCCGTGTCAGATTGCTCATAATATTGAAAAAATGTGTAAACGGCAACTGGATACAGTGCACAACAGCCCGCTCTACTTCACACATACACACAATGCAGTCAAACGGATTGTGTGCCGATGACAGTGTGAGATGATTTTCAACTGGTTACCCACTTGACAACTACCAGCTGCGAGCTTTTAACGCTGATTAACCAAATCCACCCAAACACTTTGCATGCGCGCATGTTAAACACCGAAATTCGATCACTGGCCGGAATATTTTTAGCATTTTCCGAACACGGTTTTGTATCAGTGGCCGTTCATTGGCGATTTTGGAATGCGGAATTATTGGAATTTTGCATCTAGGTCATCGATGTCCATGCGCTCAGCAACTATTTCCCACATGAACATTGTTTACTCAGTTTGTGTTTTCGAAAAACATTGATTGAAAAACATGCAAGCAAAAAATAAAGCCTTTGGCGCACTCTCTCTCTCTCACTCTCTCTCACTCTCTCTCTCTCTTCGGCATAATTCTTTTGTGTTTCGTGCTAATGCTTCAAACGATTTCATGCTGGGCATCCGCGCAAAACCTCATCACAATTTTAGTCATGTTAATTGGAAATGTATTCAATTTAATTATGATTCAAATAATGAGGGCCATCAAACGTGCAGTCTCACCGGATAATATTTGGAAATCATTTAAAATTCACTCGATAAATCCATTTTATTTCGAGAGCGGATCTCGAGTGCTGTTTAAATTACGATTGCTGAAAATGTTCTTGTTTCGCACAAACATCATCATTTTGCAAATAATGAATTATAATTAATGATATCGACCTTGAATCTCTGCGAAATCATTAATTTTAAAGCATAGAAAGCCAATATAATATATAAAGCGTGCCACGCACATGAACTGGACTGGACTGAATTGAATTGAATTGACTGAATGTATGTAATTATTATGAATGATAATGTTGTAAGTGATACTTACTTTGCCACTTCATCGCGAGCTCGCATGAGGGTCTGTCCAAACCTGGCGATCAATTCCATCAGTACATCTTCCGGCGTTTCATCAACATTTTCTGAATAGTAGCCGGAGCTATTTTAAAAAGACGGAGGAAAAGAAGTACAAAATGAATGAGATGAGTAAGATTTTAGTGGATCAAACACAGAGGATGTAATGTCTCATAATATTTTCAGTCATTTTTCTCCTATAAAAAAATGCAATAACATATCCAATGGCCACATTAAGTCGTAAAATTGACCACGATAAAATATAATGAAAATACATAGTAGTATGGAAGAGAGCTCGTCTCAAAATCGCATTTCCATTGCATTCGATTCATGTGTATCATAAAATGTCAAGCATTCACTCAGACCGATGGCTGATTCGAACTGAAACATTTTGAAACCTCTTTCACCATAAAAGATAAACCTCGTTCGTCTCATGAGGCCAGCTTTTTTCCGTCGCAAATTGCATCCATATTTACATTTCCTCTATCTTCTCGTTGATTCTTTTTTTTTATTATCGGCATCTATTCGATTCTTTTGTTTGTAGATTATTTACTTTTAAGCGGTTTCCATGCGATGTTATTTTTGCCCTTTGGTTTTCAAAACTCCATCGAGACTGAACATCATCAGTAAACATAAGCACGCTACCTTCCAAACCGTGGCGTATTCGATGAACACGTCAGCTTTGAAAAAAAACTGCTCCAAATAATAATAATGGGTCGTGTCTCTTAAGTATAGAACGAATGTTGTCACAAAACACACAAACCATGCCTAGAGAATTGTGTCACTACCGAGAATCGCTGCTAGCGAGTGACAGTGTAAATTTTGCTGACGAGAATATTGTCACTTCGTACGTATGTTGTGTATGTCAGTTTTATAAAACTCAGATGAGAGCAGAACAATGGTAAACATTTTTGTTTTGCTGCAGAATTGTTGTTTATCTTGTCCGAAGGATCAAAATTATTCACACAGAAAGTCACATTTGCCCCAAAAAAGGGATTTGAATGGGCACAAACATCAAAATTAGGTGACTTCATTTAGAATTTTAGGCTTTGATCTAAACCATATTTCGAAAATGTAATTGTGTTATGGCAAAACTAGAATTTCATATCGAACCACAACCAAAAGATTTCAATGGTTTTTTGGTGATTTGATTCCATCAAATGATAATTTGATTCCATATGCAATCAATTCAATTGAGCTAATTATTGAAAAAAAATTCCATATAATTTCATTCACCTGAAATTAATAATAAACCGACTAAAATTCGATCAAAAATGGCAAGCAATGAACAGTTACAATGAAATTACACTTGTGGCTCGTCGTTTGAAGTGCAACAATTTAATTGATGCAATACAAACAGGACCATTGCATTCTTGCACACAGGTGCATAATACGTGACTGCCATGAATTTGATCGATAAAGTGGGCATAAATTAGTGGAAAAATGCCAGTTCCGAGTTCATTTATGTAAATGCTAGCTATGAATAGCAACTCTAAACGCTGGTTTGGCTCAGCTGTTGGCATAAACAAAATGCGATTATTTTGTTGCCATGGATTTTCCGCAACGGAACCTCTGTTGCGTGGTTGCGTCAGTATAAATTTTGAAACAGAAACACATTCCAATTATGACCATAAAGCAGTGCATTGTTTGACGAGGAAAAAGTGGAATTCTTTCTGACGGTTTTTTTTAATAAAAAATTTCTCTTTGTCAAACAGAACGGAAAAAGTGCGGTTTTGGTGTTTTAATATCAGCTTTTATGAAGGAATAAAAATAATTTGTTATTCATTCACAGAGCATTGTTGCATTGTATAAATTCGGAAGTGAAAGAAGGAGCTTTTTTTTCAAATTCAGTACAAAAAGGCCATTTTCGTTATCAACGCAATATTTATACATTGAAAAAATTCGAAAATGGATGAAATAAGTGAATCCGAGTCGCAGGGACGAAATTCGAAGGTGGACGAAGATGGGTCTACCATTCCGGCCGTTATAACTGACGAATATTTCGAAGAAATTGCATGCAAATGCAGAGCAGTAAGTTTGGAAAATCAATTTTTTTATCTTCCAATTTCGCCAAAAAAATGTGATTATAGAAGAACACAATCAGCATAATAATTCCACTGGAATTTTTGGCAGACAGTGCGAAGTTTGTTGATGAGTCTAAATACCGTTGCGGCCGATGAAATGCAAACGATTCTCACCGTTGCCGAGCACTTACGTTCTAATTTGGAGAACGAAATGGAGCGCATGAAACAGGCACAGAAGCAATATGATGAATTGCTTGCACGACATGACGAAACGTTGAAACTATGGGCAACGGACAAAGAAAAAATTCGCAAACAACGTGACGAAATTGGTAGGGAAAGAAAAAAAGCCGACATAATTTTGTTACATTTTTTTGTTGTCATTTTGTTTTGAATATTGTTATCATTTCGGCCAAATTTGAATGGCCAATTTTTAGACCAAGCATGGCGTGAACGAGACGCAGCACTTTTACGAGATCAAATGGCCCAGGCTCAAATGTATTCAATGCGAGAGAAACTGGAATCCGTTGAAAGTGCCGTGAAGAATGTCAATAAAAATACAAGAGACGAGTAGGGCAGAGCAAGAAAAACATAAGCTAATTTTCTAGGCGACATATTTCTTTATATATTCTTGAACAGTAACTACACCTTCTAATTAAATTTAGACTTGGAATGTCGTTAACGAAGCAAAAGGAGAGTTTGATACGTGATCGTGACCGATTGTCAGCCGAAGTGGACGATTTGGATAAAAAACTACAGCAACAGCGTGTACAAATCGAAGCGGCGGAGAAGAAGCGTACGGAATATGAAGAAAAATGCCGCGAATTATACAAATTACTGGATGTAAGTGTGTCATCAAGCGGAAATGTGTAACAAATGTAATGAGACAAGGTGACAATTTACAGGAAGCATCCAGTGAAGCGTTCAAAGAAAAACGAGCCTTGGACCAAATGCGTGTGACCTTGAACGATGTTACCAATGAACGGAATTCCTTGAGCGAACAATTGAAATTCTTCAAATCTCAGGTATAATATTGACATCACAGAAGTGTTCATATGTAGTGATTGAAATAGATTTTTTCCCTGTTTCTTCCACATTTTCTCTCAACTTTTACCTTTTTCACATTTTCTTCCTTTAATCATTCTCATTTTCACATTTTTTTTCTTCCTTTTTTGCGTTGTTCCTCCTTCTTTTCATCTTTAATCCGCAATTACCCTTCCCTTTTACCTACGCAGAGTGAGACATTCCAGACCAATAATGTGCAATTAAATTTAAAAGTCGGTGCAATCAAAGCGAATTTGTTGCGTATGACGTCACAGTACAATGTGTGTAACGGTAAATTGACGAAGGCACTATTGGATTTGGAAGAAATGACGTCAAAGTGTGATCAACTCCAAATTGATCTGCTTCACCAGCAAAACGTGGCCAAACAAAGAGAGGCCGAACTAATGCGTTTGGCCCGTGATAATGGGCAAATGATGAAAATACGCGACGCCGTTCAAAAGCGTATTCAAACGCTTGAAGCGGAAAAAACGGATTTGGTCAAAGAGGTCACCAAATTAAGGTGCGTGAAATAATGGTTGAAACTTAACGAAATTTCCTCCACGGTAAACAAATAATGTTTCACTCTTGTCTCGTTCAAACAACAGCAACTCCATTGTCATACTCGAAAAACAGCACGAAATTAATCAGAAGGCATTTGATAAGATACAAAAATTATACGACGAACTTCTGCGCGAACGTGATGCAATTCAGAAAGAGCTTAAGAAAGCGGAAAGTATGTGTTTCATTGCCGAAACGATGTAATGTGCCCGAATTTAGATTAGAAAATTAGTTGTGTTGCTCCCTGGTGGAGTGGAAAGAGCAGCCGGGAGGCGTCAGCACTCAGGCCGATGCGATTTGAATGATTGATATCATTCATCTCAATGGCCACTTACGTGATTGACGTCATATTTAATGTGTGTGCGTGTTTGTTTTGTCTCCTTCATTTCAGAAACGGTCGAGAATCAAGTTGGTGTCATTAAATTACACGAACAACGATGTCAAAGTCTTGAAAATGAAGTGAAAACTTTGACCACTGCCCTTGAATATCATAAGAAAAAAATGAGCACACTTAAGCGCGAACGTGATAGAGATGTTAGTAAATCTCTGGTGAAAAACGATAAAATGGATGCAAACCAATCCGAATTGACCATTAAAATGAAAGCAATTGCTGATCTGACCTGGGATTTGAATCAGACACAAACCAAATTAACACATACCCAGCAACAATTAGAAACGATGATGGCCGAACGAATATCACTCCAGAAAAATCTCGATGCAATTACCGATGACCGAAACGATGTGCGCGAAAAACTTCGGGTAACTTCTTTCTTTCTTTTGAACATGTGAATTAGTGATTAGTTCGATGTGGATGGTTTTCGCTTGAAAGAACAAAAAAAAACATCAATTTCGTAGATTGCAATAGCCGAGCAGAAAAAATTGAAGCAAACGATTGCGGCCAAAGATATGGAAACGGTACGAAGTCAAAAACAAATTGACCGAATTGAAAAAGAGAAAAGCACGTTAAAAATTGAATTGCAAAATGCCATGGTTGCGGTGCAGCATTCCCGAACGGAGCTCGCTGAAAAGGAACATGAGTGCCGGAATTTGTATCGTGCCTTGTCCGATGAAGAGAAAAAACGCGCTCAAATGGAGAAAAAAGTCGAATCAATGCAAAATGAAAAGGATCTTCTGAGCGCTGAACTCGTGAAAAAGAACGATGAAATTAGCGAATGGGAGGCTAAGCGTGAACTGATGATTGTTGCACTGGATCGGGGTAATCAAAGTCAATGTTAACCTTTTGTCTGCGTAAATTTTTCATGAAATGAATGTGTAATTTTTCTGTGTTTGGCTTTTCTCCGAATTTTTGTTCGTCAGGCGAACGACAGTATATGGAACGTCTGGAAGATATTCGGCTTCTAAAAATTGAAGTAAAGAATATGCGCCATCGAAATCAGCTATTAATCCGTGGCCTGTGCAACACAATTGATATGCGGCATGAAGTGTTGCAATTGCATCGCGATTTGAATCAGGAGCGTGTGAAATCGAGAGCGCTCGAAGATGAACTGGGCACACCATTAAATATTCACCGATGGCGAAAACTCACGGGCAAAGATCCAGAACGAATGGACTTAATCGTTAAAATACAAACGCTCCAAAAGTAATTATATCAAAAGGGCTTTTTTCCGTTTCGATGAACTTGAATAGAGAGAAAAAAATAACAACAAACTTTTTTCCCGCTTTTTTCTTTGTTAGGCGCATTTTATTCCAGACCCGTTGTTGCGTTGAAAAGGAAAAGGCTCTGCGCCATACAAACTTCGTGTACAACGCGCTCAAGTCGGCCATGCAACAATTTTCCGATGTTGACAAAGTGAAGCAACAACTTTGTTATACACGACGCTCTCTGACTGCAAAAACACGTAAAATTAAAGCGCTGTCAGCCGAAGCGAACATTAAAGACCAAGAGATTAGGCTCAAAGACACGAGCCTCAAACAACTTCGCGACGATCTCATGAATAAAAAACAGCAATTGTTGTGCGAAAAACGTGACAAACAAAAATTGAAAACACAACTTGACACAATAAAAAATCAAATAAACAGTGACTTCTTCGATCGTCCGATGAGTAATCCGGTGTACAAAACAGCCGGTGCGGGTTTTCGTATACTCAGCACCACCAGCGAATGAAATGTCTCCATTTTGAACGATATCTGCGTAGTTTTTATCGAATAAAATCCATTTTTTCTGGAAAATATTGATATTTTTCTGTTGGTTATTTAATTATCGAAAGAGTTTGCTCTTCTGGCTTCTAAGGGAGCTCTTGATAATTGTTAGTTGTAAAAAAAGTCAAAAACTGTATGTTTGGTGTATACTATTTCTTGTATGCAACGTTTTCATGTTTCTATGCTTAAAATCGAGTTCCACAGTTTACCGAGAGTTTAAATTCAATTTGTTTTGACGAAAATTGAACATTTTCCCGGAATTCAATGGTCTGAAACAAAGTTTCGTGCGATGCCATCGTGTATTGAGCAGATGTAGATGATGGCAAATAGATAAAATGTGAAACTTTTGTTACGAGTCAATTCGAGAGTTACTTATTTGATGTGTGGGCTGCCATAATATGATTTTAGTGAGCTCACGTGATGTATCAAATACGTACACTCTTGTACGCCAATTGGATTTGGAGATGTTTCTTTTTCTGGGTAGAATAGCCTCCGAAGAAGAATCGTCTGCCAAATAAAATCGGACATACATCAAGATATGACATGACAATTCATCAACTGAACCGAATCGAAGTAGAAAAGAATGTCATCGCCGAGGTATAATGACGCATTAATGAGATGATTTGATTTGTGGCACGTATTACTTTTTACGAAGCGGTTTTTTACGGCTCTCTCGCACCAAATTAAAACGCACTATATCGGTACTTACTATCTCGGTGCTGATTCTGCAACTGATATCAACAGCATACTGATTCCAACCACAAGTAGCACAGTGCACCATTGCCGTGTTGAATTCATTCTGGAAAAAAAGAAAACAAGGAAATAAAATCGTTAATTTGGAAATGAAACAAGACTTTTTGTTGGCAAGAAAAACTCGAGAAAAGATTTCAGGGTGAAGAGATTAAAGTTTTAAAGGCAGAAAAAAAGAGAACCATTTCCTTCATTTTGGTTAAGTAAAGAGCCACTTATCACGATTCCGTGTACGAGCGCCACAACGATAGCATGCCATACAATAGCTTAATGAGGTAGACATAGGTACAATTTTTTTAACCGAAAACCAACACGCACACAAAAAAAGGTCAAGGAGAAAAGAATAAAGCGAAAACCAATATTTTACAATATTATGTGTGTTGTCTACGAATTCGTTCATTGGTATTGTTTTCGTGAAAATTGCGTTTCGTAGGAGAAATTTAAACATTTAATCACATCAAAAATTCATCATAACAGTTGGTGTAATCCACCGAAATGTATAGCTTGTCGGGAAATTTGCATTTTTCCAGAATTTCGGCAGAAAATTTGCAATGCAAAGAACGGTCTTCTGACGTCGTTTCCATAAACCGCTGTTGTATCGTTTCGGTTTTCTTTGGCAGAGTTTACAAATATGTCATGAACAAAGTAAATAACGTAAATCTTGTTTGATGATGCGGATGATTTTTAATTCAAAACACGTTGATTCAACAATATTAAAGATGTCGGAAATGATATCGATAAATCGATAACAGGCATTTTGGGGAAAAAATAAGCCGCAAACAATCTGTAACCTTAGAAAATTATCCTCATTTCGAGCGAGATTAGAGCACAATAAAACCTAAGCTGTTTGATGATGGTATGTCTTAAAAAAAAAAATTCGGCCACAGGCATTCAAAACATTCTCCAAGTCGTTGAAACTTCGATGATTCCCTTTTAAATCGGTTTTCATGTTGTTAACATAATATTTAACAGTTTTCATGATTGACAACTTAACCAAATAATTTATCATGAGGCAATTCAGAACGTTCCATCTCGAGAAGACGCGTAAATATTTGATCACAATGAATGTATAGCATCAAGCTTCAATTCTTTGATGAGCAAAACGCTTTTTAAATTCAAAAGAAAACTTATGCAAAGCGTAAAAAGCATGGAGCCATCAATAAAATGTGATTCTTTCGCGTTGAAGCGTGAATGATCTCAGAAAGTTACGCGACAGAACGAATTAAATTGTAAAACGATAAGAAAAGAATTCGAAAAAATTGCCATGGTAATTTGCACTTTTCTACAATGAATGTTTCAATCAAAACCGACTCATTTTCAACAGCGTATTTCTTGCGGCACTTCAACGTTCTTTTATTGCGTGGAGAAACTCCGAAAAAATAATAGACATTTAAAATGCGAAGAAGAAACGTCATCATCAATTGAAAAATTGATTGTCGATGGAATCAAATTCAATAATTCATGTCTGCGTTTGGCAAAATGGAAAACAAAACCGAGGAGAAAATATCGTCGTTATTAATGTTTTATCTGTGATTTCAGCAAATCGCATGTAATCACGAAAATTGGAATCAGAGTTCAATGGCTTTCATTGCCGAACATGTAGAGATAGCACACCCCGCAGCAGCAGCAGCCGCAGCAGTAACATTACATAAATCTCAGCTCACAAATCAATTTATCGTGTGCATTGACGTGGTTGCAATAAAGAAATAAAAGCAAATTAAATGATGGCATTTATGTTTATCATGGGTTTAGTTTATCGATGGCTGAGAATATCGGCAGGTGCTAAATATACATTGTGTTTGACGCAATACGCTTTTTTTCTGCGTTCTGCACATGAAAATAAAAATTCGCAATACATTGCCACTAAATCTTCGAATAGCATAATTTATTGTCTCCGTCTATCAACGAGTCTATTTATTGGATTTGGTTTTACGTTGACTCACCTATTCGCTTTGGTATGTCGAAACGTATACTATATGAGCGGTAGAAGCGCATCCAATCCACATATTTCAAAGGACACATTTTCAACTTTAACTGTTTGGTCGCCAACGCTTTTGTTCCAAAAGTGAAGGGCAAACAGGAGTTACGAAACCGGGTCACTATTGGTGTGCGTTGTCATTTGGTAGCACAAACAAGCTTATAAATCATGGCTATGGCTTTATTAAAATTTCTCGCATAAAACCATGAATGTCGTTCGGCTTAAAGTTTTGGTGTTTTAAACAGGACATGAACCATCCACATGAATTTTGTTCATTAAAATCGTTTGCTTCCTTTTGAACTAACGAATTAATCATTTGATAAAGGAAAAGCCGCCAACACAATTTGGATTGTGTGCATCGGTTCTACGCACTGAACACATTAATTAACGCAGCATAAAATCCGGCCATAAAATTCGATTATTATGCTTGAATAGTTGCTCATCCGACTTTTGACATTCGCATTCTGATTCGCATTGAGCAAACTTGAATTGGGTTGTATCTCCATGTGCTATGGGCGTACAAATGGGAAATATTTCGAGCTTGAATTTCAATAGCAACCGATATTTCGTTCATGAATGGTTTACATCTTTCGATTTCCACGCTTTAAATGCTCAACATTGCTCTTTTTGCAACGGTATCTGTATTTATATGCAGAAAAAAATACCATACGTATACGATGCCATTTAATCTCTTTACATTTGCTATGCTTATTGAATGTGATGCCACTCTGATAACTGATGTTGAAAGCATGAATGGGAATTGCGGAGCTACCTTCCGATGTGTATTTATTACACGTGTATATTTATTGTGCCTGCACATGTAGATGTACATAAGTTCGATACTGAATTTTTCTCACCATTATTCGGGAAACAGCTAGTATGGAATGAGGTTCGGATGGGCAAAAGCTGAAAGAAAAGTATTGATCTGACGAAAGTATAAGTATCGATCTATCTTTACCGAAAGTACCGCATATTTTGAGTTTTGATGGATGCTAGTGCATAAAGTTCAATAATTTTGATCTTGAAGAAGATATAGTGGTCACGAGGTTGAGTTCACTCATCAAAATTGACCTAATTTGAGAGAAAATCTTCTGCTGAATTTTTTTTTAGTATAAAAGGTATCAAAAGACGTTTTCTGCTACAGGTGATTGATTTCTATCATTTAGTATTCACATTGTTATCAAAATTTGATAAGTTTGATAATTATCGTTGAGATTTAAGGTAATACAATAAATCGGTCGTTTTTCATGCATTAACTGACTCAACAATCTCTGGGCTCAAATTAGTTTTCTGTACGTAATAGATCGATTTGGATAAAATGAACATCATTCACTTTATATTCGTTTGAATTCTTTTGCGGTCAATAGATGCCCTTGTTAAAAGTTGACATATAAGATTTGGATAATTTTCGAGCGTTGATAATTACAGCAGACTACAATAGTCTTTTCCGGAGAAATGAACCGCTATGAAATTTTGAAAATCTTTCCCAAAACGAGAAAAACACCGACCTTCAAACTTAGTACTGCGAAGAAAAGTGGCAGTTTAAGATGTAAAACGATTTCAGCGCTTGGAATTTGGTTCGCATTGCACGTACATGATGACATCATATCCTTTGTTGCGTCGCATTATATAAGTTTTACCGGCAAAGCGGCTGTTTTGATATGAGATTCATATGAAGCGTGTAGTGGAATGTGAATGGGCTAGCGTGCCCGATTCTCTATCGCCCTAATATATTTTTGCTGAAGTGTTTTCGTCCGACGTTTGCACGTGCCAAGCGTAAATACACATTCACTTTTCATGGATATTTTGTTTCCCTCCTTCCCAGTTTTATAGCATGTTGGCCATATTCCGGTGAATGCCTCTGTTTTTCATCCTTTTCCAAAGGTTGAAAAAGGAAGAAGCAAAGCTCTTGTTGTTTATATATATCCGTTGGCAATTAAACATTTATGCAATCATAATTATTATTCTGGCTAAGATTGAAACGAGTGGGCAAACCTTTTACTTATCGCTTCGAAAATTACCTCAACAAATTCGATAAAAAGGATTCGGAGCAGTATTTTGCCATTTGAAAATGAATTTTCCATTTGATAACACAAAAATAGCAATAACAAAAAAAAACAAAGAAAAACAATACCGAAAAAACCTTTTTACAAGGACGAAAATCGGTCGCAGACAAAATAAATGAAAACACAAAATAAAGCAACCATTCAATGTGTGACAGAATGAAAGAAAAAGTAGAGATCTGGATCACGTACAACGATGATGATGGAATCTCGCATAAAAAGGCATTGCAGCAGAAAAATAGTGTGTGAAATGTATGTACACCACATTATTCCATTCGTTGCGATAAATAAAATTTCCTGACAGTGTAATGAATGGTGGTCTTTATGGAAGCGTAGAATGCCTTTGTATCTGGTTACTGTCATAAAAGTACTGTGACATGAGCGCTGAATACGAAAAACTTTTATTTTTGCTGCATTTTCACTTTTTTTTCCATTCTTCTACTGCCGCTACTGCTACTCAAACACAAGAGCATTTATTACTTACGTTGAGACACACGCGATTCTTTTATAGCCAATAATACTGTGTTGAACATTTCGCGTGGTCGGACAGCTCTCTCGATTTCAGTAAATCAAAAACATATAAAAACATATAATCGGTTGTCTATGGGACGATTTTGCCATGCTTTTACAAATGGAAATGGGCGAGTTTTGTTATCCCCGTTGACCATCGTCATTCTTTGGCTCACATAAAAAAGTATCCTTGAGGCTGCACATTGGCAGATGGACAATTTTGTTACTGTTCGTAACTTAAAATGTTGCGCGTGTAATATTTCCGCAGAAAATTCCCACTGGATTACACAAGGGAAAACATCTGAAGTACAAAATCGAAATTACAGCTAAACGGAAACGTTCAACTGGAGCCTTTGCTAGACAATCGTTCAGTATATAGCATAGGTATATAGCGTTTCAAACAATTTCCCTGGCTAATTATCACCATTAGAGTGATGGAAACCCTTGTTTCCCGAAAGGGAATCGTACTAAACTAACACATTAGATTTGGCGAGAGTT